ATTTTGTTTAAAAAAAAAACAATGCTGACACACTTTCAACCTTTCTCAAGAGACCTAAAATTATTGTTGTTGTACCCCAGTCTTTAAAAAATTACGCAACTTTGTAGAAAATGTTTTTGTTGCATTTTAAATAGACTCAGAATACTTCAAGTAATCAGTTTACGTGTAAGGTCTTGTATAACCTAACCAAAAACCATTCAAACGTTTGAGATCAGTTACTTGATGAAGAGAAAATTCGACATTTTTTTATAGAAGACATACGAATGAACATTCAATCTTCTATATAATGTTTCAAAGTAATACACACAACTGTATAAAAATGAAAAAGTTGAAACTATTAGTCTATAATTCATTAAAATGGTCTAACTGATCATTTTAAGCAATTTTACGCTCTTTCCGCTGAAGTAAATTCTCATGTCACGAGAATTTTACGACAGAAAACTAAGTATAAACTAACTTCGGGTAATTACATATTGAATTAGGAAAAACAGTTGTGTTTCTGTTTACTAAAATAAATCGCGGACGAAACAATACAATAAAAATAAATCTTATGTAAACCTACTAAAGTCACTATACAAGGAACCGTATACAGTATATTTTACTTTATCCTTTTATGAACTGTGAAATATTAAAAGTGTTTCTTAACTTTTGAGCGGTAGTGTATATTTATTACCCGTTTTTGTCGCCAGTACTTCGGCTTCACGGCATTACAGAAATTAAATTGTATTTAATCAGCAAGTATCATTCAGATAAAAAACAAAATAAGAACCAGAGGAAGATTATTTTTATCCATCGTTCAATATTTAAAATTTGTTAACACGGTAAATACATCTATATTTCCCTGAGATCCCACGCGATAACGCGAAAAACCGGAGGACGACTAGCGACAAAAATCGTAAATAAATTCCTTGCGTCCGTTCACCGACGAGGAATTTCAACGCGTTCGCCGCCGCCATTTTGTTTGGAAACCGTTCGTTGTGTGCCACGCTGGATTTTCAACATTCTATTCGATGTGTTACATTCCAAAGAAATGTTTATTTTTTCTTAAACAGGATTCTATAACCCATGGCATTGTGAGAACCTTCCGAATCGATCATGACTCGGCCCATGACATTTATAGACCGTTCTCTTCTCTTTAGGTGTTGCAAATATAACGCAGCCTGAAAGTGTTGTACCCGATGTCCTACCGAAATTGTAGATAATACATCCGGTAAGGTATAGATTCTCACGAATTGAATTATACAATTATCTTCATAGTACTATATACTAGATCTGATCGCTTAATAGGTATTTTTCAAGTATCAATAGGTACGCTGTTTCTATGCGTTCAGAAAAAGGGAACTTTTATACAGAAGCATTCTACGCTCAATTTTCCTGGTCACTATCACTGGAGCGTATATATACGTTCAATTTTGTTGATCATTATCATAAGAGATCAATATCAACACCACATCTTTGAGATTCACTCTTTCTTATGAAAGCTTTATTATATTTTGTATACTGTTTTATATCGTTTTTTCTATTTTTTATTACAGAATGCTGAAATATGAAGTTCTTTTTACTTGTTGTAATTTTTCTATTTAAATAAAATTTAAAAAAAATTAATGATAACAATCTTGTTTTTCATACTTTCTGATGATGCAAATGGCTTAACCAATTCACTTCGAGAATATTCTGTTGGGGAGAACCACTCGTCGCATACGTTAGACTATATTTTATGTAAACCTCTTGGAAAGCCTAGTTAGAGAATCTGTATCCACGAATATTGTACCAGTAAGAAGCACTGAATATTTGTTTAGAAAAATAAAAACACAGAGAAAAGAACGAAGAAGGAAAATGAAAGCGGAGTAAGTATATAAAAACTGCTGTCAAACAATTCTGAACGAGTAGTCAATGCTGTGAGCACAATTCATTTCATTCATAATTATAAACAACGAACCGCTGATCCTGTGGAGTTGGAACCCTACTTCCTCTCGGAAGACCACCGCTGCGTCACTACCGTTTTGGCTTCACCATCGAGAAGTCTCGAAGTACAACATGTTGATGGAATAATATGTAAAAATTAAGCAATAACATGCTGAGCAATAGATCCTCATTAACACATTATCGACCAGCAATTCTGACGCAGAAGTTATCCCATGTCACCGGTTAGTATTTCGTAATTAAATATGAAAGTGAAACAATCTAAATTAACCTCAATATACTTTATTTCTACATAATGAATTGAAATGAAACTTTGGACATATCTTTTATATAACCTTTAACATTTTGCTTTTGCAATATTCTATATTGTCCTGCGTTTCAAAAATTGAAATGCTAATACAAGTGCAAATACAAGTTAACTCGTGACCGGTCAAGAATGTGTTAACATCGCGATAAAGTACTGATAATAAGATTCATAAGTAATGTAAGTAATTCACATTTCTCAAAATCAATTATTATTAAGTACTGAGCGGATTCTAAATTTACGTCTTATTTTTTTATCTTCTATCTATACGCATAAATGTATGACACATGCTAATTTCTATTTTCTTCTGAAATATTTAAATATTTTGTTTCTAATTATTAATGCTACTTTGTTCAATTTTTTATTATATTGTTAAATTATAATTGTTGCGTACTCCGTGTGACAGTTAGCACAAAAAACATTACAAATGTAACGACAAAAAGAAATATAGAAGAGTAACTATGTACAAACATGTTCATACATCTTTTTGTATTCTTTGTGAATAATATTCTCGTTGCTGTTCATAATAAAATATGATTGATTGAAATCAAAAGTTAACGTATACGTAAATACTTTCTCTTTTCGGTGTACGTAACTCTAGAAACGATTGTATTAAATCAAATTGCTGTGCAGAAGAAGACCACTTTTATTAGCAAAATTTTTCCACTTCTATTTGGATTAATTGGTAACGACAGATAAACGCAGCTGAATTTACGATAAGGTACAACTTCGCAATCTCTGTTACCGAACGATCGTAAGTACAACGTTTCGTAATAGTAGGCAAAAATGTCGTATATTATACTTCATATAAAACAAAAATAACAAATCCACTTTTATAAAAAAAAAGTTATTATCATGCTATAGATTATTATTATTAAATAAAATAAAATAGCAACGAGTTGCACTCGGTTTACCTAATATTTTAAAATATTTTTCAAAATAAAATGTAATTTTGATCATTTTTGTTTTAAATTATTCCCCTAGTCACTTATTTTACAGTTTTAACCGAACTAAGGAATAGAAAATAATAATGTTTGTGTATCTAACATATCACATGATACATATGCCACGTTATTATTACGTATTACATGTTATCATTATCTGTTTTAACATACTTGTAATGATTGTAATTGTTTCGGCTTATTATTGTACAAATGTAATGCATTATTATTTACAATAATTGTCTTATAATAGAAATTTGACACTATTGCATGTTTTGTTCATTCACATCGAAAATACCGATGAGATAATACGCATTCTTCATTGAAGAAGCAAGGGATAAAGAGCTTCTGTATTTGTGTTTGTATAAATTAGGATGTATAGTACATCAAAATTTCGGTGCACGAAAAGATTATTAATTCAATATTCATTACTTTTAGAATTACTCAATACCATAAATTTATCTATATTTTTTATTATAATTCTCCTTTCATATTTGGAATGGTATTAATAAAGGTTTTGTCATTACCTAAATTATTTTATTTTTTTTAAAGGTACTAAAACTTTCTCTATTTTAAGAACTCCAACAAAATTACACCTCTTGAACAAATTTCAGTGGATGAAGATAAACATTAAAACAACGTCCATTTGTCAAAATAAAACGAGTGCACTGTATATTTTTGCGGTTGAAAATTCAACAAATAAATAACGATTTCATTAACGATTTCAAAATATTCCAAAAACATTAGATACGCACAGATAAGTTCCGTCGTACGCAACGAAAATTAGCTGAATAATAATTCGTTATAAGTAACGATACAGTAACGAGAATGACTGTATTCAACAGCACTGGCACATTACACGATATTATACGATAAACCACATTGCGTAAAAGTTTGTAAGAAAAAGAATAAACTAATGTAATAACAAAATAAAAACTAAACAGGAATATTTACAAAGATTACTCCTGCCAAACATCGTGTACTAAATTAATGTTACAGAACAGGTAAATTTAAACCCATCATCGACTTACGAGCAAACATATAATTTCATTCCTTAATCGTTGATAAAATAAAAACAGCACGCAAGCACCAAACTTGTTCGTCACGTATTCCCGATTAGTTAATTTACTAGTCCGAAAGAAATGGTGTACGGCTTAAGAAGAGTGGCAAGATAACGCCAGTTCTCCCCCTAGTAGCGCGCGCGCGTGTGTGGTCGCGAAGTCGTTCGCCGAAGTGTTCCGCAATTTCATGTGAAACGGCAATGCGCGCTCACCTTCCATCCGGCGCTGCTGTTACTCTCCCCCTTCTCCCTGAAGTACGGAATATTCTGCATCATCCATTCATAGATCTGCGAGAGCGTGAGGCGTTCGTCGGGTGCGCTTGTGATCGCCTGAGTGATCAGATCAGCGTAACTGTGATTCCCCCATGCGTTCCGCCGCGACGAATTCTTTTTGACCGGAAGCAGGCTGCCGGCACCTTGGCCGAGAGCGCCGTGCTGAGGCGGCGTGCCACTTTCGACGCCCTCGACGCCCTCCTTGCTCCCGGACATCACGTTCGCCACCACGTTCCCCTCGATGTACTCCTCGGATCTTGGCAGCGGCCACGTGTGCGACCGAGCTCTCGTCTGCGGTTCGAATCCGCTCTCAAGGTCGTACGGTACCCCCTGCTGCTGCGGTTGTAATCCGGTCTTCGACCCCGACGCAGAAACCGGCACCGAGTCCATCATGCTAGGCTCCTCTGTGTACTCCACTTTGACAAAGCGGGAGCACCTCCGCGAGGTGCTGCTGGCTTATCCCTGACACCCAACGTGCTCTAGCCGCGAGGAAATCGTGTGGCAGTCGATACCACCACTCCGAAACGAAACTGTACACGATTGGCTGCACTGTCACTCCGCGTTATTTGTTAAGCACACTTCGGCATGTCGTTCAACGCGAAACAGAAATGGAAAACAAAAACAAAACAAACACGAACGGAACGAAACGAAACGATACTTGGGGCCAGAATAGTTCGTTGTAGTGTCACTTCTCTCTCACCGTTTCACGATGTTGGTGGGGCCTCGTCCCGCGGAAGGAACGTCCGAGTGCGTCCGGCAACGCGCGCGCCGCGAAAAATCGCTGGGAGGGAAACGGGATAAGAAAAGGAGCGGAGTGTCGCGGATCACTCGAATCGAACTCTCCCGCGACTGGCTGCAGCCGACCGAGAATACACACTATAGGTTGTTGTGTGTGTGTTGTGCGAGAGCAAAAGAGAAAGATAGAGACGCAGAAGGTGCGAAGAAGCGAGAGAGAAGAGAAGAGAAGAGAAGAGAAGAGAAGAGAAGAGAAGAGAAGAGAAGAGATGTGAAGTGAAGTGAAGTGAAGTGAAGAGAAGAGAACAG